TATGAAGAGATCTTCCATATAAAGAAGTTATGAGGATTAAATGAGACAGTGTTTGGAAATCATACTGGCATTCAAATGATTGAAAAAAAAAAAAAAGGTGATTTGATCAGGCAGTACTTAATGCTTGTACACGTCAGAGGGTCCTTCCCTAGGTGTGGCAATTGGTTTGCATTCAGCTACTCATGCAAAGGCTGATGGCTCAAATCTACTCAGTGACATCGACTTTTGTTTCTAGGTACGGGGGAACAGAATGCCAGGTCCTTTCTTCCAAAGAGCTGTTGGTAGGTTTCAACGGCCAATCTTTTGGTTAGCAGCCCAAGGCTTAAGTACTGTACCACCAGAACTCAATATTACAGCTATGGAAAACCCTATGAAACACTGTTCTACTCGGAAGCCCTTGGGGCCGTCAATAGTTAGGATCAACTCAATGGCAAGGTTTGGCTCGGGTTTCTGAGTGTCTGAATATACATAAGGAGTGTTATAAAAGTGTAAATATATTTCCAGCTCTCCAGAAGCTTAAGCAGAACTAGGTAAACAGGTGAAAGGGAAAACCAGCAGCAACAGAAAAGCCATTAACAAAATTAAGGGGCTTGCTTTTCACATTGATATTAAAGATATTGCAAATAGTGGTTAAAATAAAAATCAGTTCACTTTCCTACTGGGGATTACCTAGCTAGTTCTTGATGTATCAACTTGGTACGCAGTAATGGAAACAACAACAAAAACAATTAGTAAATCCTGGTGTGGTGCTATTGGATAAGCACTGGACTGCTAACTGCAAGATCAGCAGTTCAAACCCCAAGCCACTCCTTGGAAACCCTATGTAGGGTTATCAACTGCAACTGATTTGATAGTTCTTAGCAACACAGCTAGTAATGTAACTTACTAGGAAATTTCCAGTTGGTTTACTAATAGAGGACTTGTTTATGTGGGTAATTATGAGTATGCAACTGTTTTTAAATTCTTTGATGTAATTGTGCTCATGATAGAATAGAAGCTCACCATTATTGAATACTTCCACCCCCAGACTTTGTTTCAAGCATTTTACATAAATCAGTGCTTTCAGTTCATGTCCACAACAACTCCATGAAGTAAGCACAATCAGCATTCCCATTGTTTCCTATCAACACCTTATTTCTTAGAACACGAGACCAAACTTAAAACTAAACTCAATAATGGTTCCAACTCATACTGTCACTGTAAGACAGAAGAGAGTGGCCCCATACGTTTCTTGAAGGCTGTACATCTTTTCAGAAGCAGACTGCCACATCTCTCTCTCTCAGAGCAGCTGGTGGGCTCAAACCACTGACCTTTTGGTTAGCAGATGAGTGCTTAAGCCATGGCACCACCAAGGCTTCTTCTTTCTTGCACTAAAATAAGGCCAAACTTCGTCTCTCATACTTCGGACATATTGTCAGGAAGGACCAGCTACTGGAGAAGGGTATCATGTTTGTAAGGTGGAGCTTCAGAGAAAAAGAGGAAGACCCCCAGTGAGATGGATTGGCACAGTAGCAGTATCAATGGGTTCAAGCATGGCAACAATCGTGAGGTTGGTCCAGGACCGGGTAGTGTTTCGTTTTGTTGTGCATAGAGTCACTATGAATCAATACTGACTCAATGATACATACCAACAACAAATAAGAACCATATGCTCCTATTCAGACTTACCAACAAATTTGACTTAAAGACACATAACATCACTTAGGAACTAACCTTGTTCATAACTTGGGGACTGCCAATGTCATCAGATGGCAATTTGTCCTGATTAGCTTTACCTGACATGGCTCACATTCATCTCAGGTGTTACACTATCTCCCTACGGAACTGGGGATAAGTGGGAGGTGAGAGTAGTGGATAGAAGGTAGGAAGGGATGTTCCCAATATGAATGGTCCAGGATCATCCATCCAACTAGATGTCTCCACGTCTTTAAACTCCAGCACTGCATGGGTGAGAGTGAATTCCATCCCTCCAACAACCTTGCAGATATCCATAAATGTTTAGTTAAACAAAACCCCCCAAAACCATGAAACTTTATAGACACAGAAAGTGCAAATAAACTTCCTGATACCACAGTGCAAAAGAGAATTTGCTCTCTCCTGGGAAACAGTATAATAGAATACTCAAGTGTAAAAACAATCTTCAAATAGGTGCACACATACTTTAAAGATACTTTATTATGATCAAAAGCTTTCCATTAATTTATAAATTCTTACTAGTCAAAGGAAAATAAATAATAAAATCCATTATTTTCAGGAGGCTTTTGACAACATACTTTTGCAAATCTTAAGACATTTACATGCTTTTCAATTTTAAATTATTGCAATTTAGATACATTCGGTCATTACACAATACTAGGAATGTCACTCTCAAGATACCAAGAACTGCCATATTAGTAGTAAAATCGTGGTACAAATTTTACTTTTTTATTTTTAACCAACTCTAATCAATAAGTTATAGGAGTACAGACTTTTCAGTCTTTGATTTTTTTAATACATGGGGTTAAAATAAATATGTCTATTTTTCTATGCATTGGCTAAAATTTGGGGGAGCAGACTGCTAAAAGAACCACTAGTGAGGAAATGTTATGCTATTCTCTTATTTATGAGGAGTGAGTGGGGTGAAGAAAGTACAGAAGCTGAGACCTCTTGCTACAATTATTAATAAGTCATTGGAATAGGCCCAGTCTTAGTAAATTTTAAACAAATCTCTGAAGCATCAAGATGATCACATACACATCACTTATAAGACTGTGTATACTACCCGATCAGAGATTTCTCAAATTGCCAAAGTGTCCCTTAATTCTTTTCATTATTTAAAAAATACGATTAGCTCTGGTCTAAATAGAGAGAGTAGTCTGAAGAGTTCTGTTTCACAACAGCCTCATCACCACTAATGAGAAGAACTAGTTTCAACACCTTAAGCTACATCTACCTCCATAGTAAAGAACCGAGGCAATTATTTGCAAATGAAAAATAATATAGCAATGTCAATATTTCAGAACAAAGAATTTGGGCTGCTCATATGAATGCCCAAATAATTCAACATTTCTCATTATGCTTTGCAAAGTAAGTCTTAATTTATAGGAAATTTAAGTCAATGTTAAAGACGAGACTAATCTAGCCAAACCATCTACAAGGAGACATGTGATTTCTTAGACCAAACTATTTTAAAGTATTACTCTATTAGATTTGGAAATCCTATTTCTCTGCTCTTTCATTTTTTGAAAGCTGAATTACTTGTTATTTAATTAATAAAATTAGAACTCACTGTTCGGATTATGCTGTTATGTAGTATTTTCATCTAATTATTTAACTCTTAGGTTCAGGATGTGTGTCTCAAGGTCACTGGAGAGTGGTTTTATTCCTGTTTCTAATATTATCATTTGACATACCAGAAGGTAATTCCATGAGCAATGCTAGCTAGCAAACGTGTCGTGTAGAAAAAAACAAACGTGTGGATATGTCTGAGACAAATCAAAGTCAAATATTTACATGGAATGTTGACACTAAATTATAAAGCCACTATTTTAAAATTATGTTACTTTTATATATAATCAATTTATTTTATGAATAGGTCCATATGATAATTAAAAAAATATGCCTTTCAAACAGTTCATAAATATATAACATTTCACTCAATACTATTTTTCTTTAAACAAGACATCTACATTCTCTTTACAAATCAACAAAAAATAATCTTTTTTCCTCTTTTAAAATCACAGATGCGATGCTCTGATTGCCAGGGTTTTATGCATGCAAGAATTGCAAGACATGTTCTCTTATACAGTTTATGGACATTCCTAGTATTTTGAACTATATAATTCACTTGCTAAAGATCAGTAGTATCAACAAAAAAACCAAGAGATCCCAATTAAATATTTACAATATAAGATTCTTTCTTAAACTTCTTTACAAACAGCAAAACTAGGCTTTTATCTGGTCAGCATTAGGAATCATTTTAAAGATAAAGAAGTAAGTTAACAATACAAGAAAAGATGTTTTGTTTTTTAAACATACATCTTAGTGATGTGTATAGTGATCATTTATGTATATTTTTGTAAACGATCAAATTCTCCTTAACTGTATCAGTAATGTGCAAAATGTCTACTTTTAGGATATGAACCACATTTTTATTATTTATTGGGAAAATTCAAAGGCAGCTGCCAAAAAAATAACGTAATAATAATAAAACTTTCTTTTTGGTGACTTCAAAAATATCTTCTGAGGATTGAGGATTTATAAAGAAAAATGTTCGAAATTATTACTTGCACCTAAGATCCCACCATTCTTATTAGAATTAACACCATAAGGAGAGGTTTTTAAAGTTACATACACATTGTTTTTAAGTGTTTATCTTCCCTTATTAAATATTTGTTGAGTCACCGAAATGTACTAAGATTTCTCCATCTCTAACATGAAGGCTACCCTATTCAAGGCAGATTTTCAGTAGCTATTTTAAAAAAAGATTTTAAAATACACATACTGTGAACATATTGTGCATACATAGGAAAATGCTCATACTTTTAGTAAGAGGACCTCTTCTTAGTGCCAGCCCAGTTAAATCTGTGATGATCTGCCGGCAAACAGAGATGCTGTCTTATCTGTCTAGAGCTATTAACACCCTCAACACTTACAGGCAAACTTGAAGGCAGTGACCACACGTGAGCCAGCTGAAGCACTAAACTCAGTTCTCCACCTAGTCTTTAGTTATTTCTCTTGTAAGTCAGCATATTTTGGAAATAGAGCTATACTAGAGACAAGCATATGGCTCCAAGCTTTGCTTCGAATATAGCATTGTGTGCAATCGATGTTAGATCTTATACTCATACATTATGTTTGAAATAAGGTTGTAAAAAGATACAGACAAAGCTGGCATTCAATTTTACCAAGATAGTACACATTTACAACAGTGATGTCTATGTAAAAACCCTACCACCAAAATGGTAACTGAATCTGTTCTCATCATGCAGTCTATAGAAAAGAGGTTTATGGAAATTTCCTTAGTTATGAATGCAACCAGCTCACTGGAACCCAATGGGCATCTGTCTCTAACCTATCAAAAGTTGTTTTCAGCTCATTGAAGGCCACGGTGAGGTCATCATTCACTATAATCTTGTCAAAAAGATGACCATATTGGTTTTCCATGATCTGCGCAGATTGAATCATTTCTTGAAAATCTTCTTCCTACAAAGGGAAGTTTTTTGTTTTTTTTAAATTGGTTGAGCTGGCAATTACATCACTTTATATCAATGCAAACATTCCACCACTGCCTTACGTAATGCAGTTGTGTGCTCATTTCTTCACTTCAACCAGAAATGAAAATTACCCTCTTTTATTAATATGTTCCTCAAAATTTTTAATAACATTTCTGATCTGCTTAACACTGAACGGCTCTTGCAAGTTTTCCCACCGTCCCTGAATTTGTGGGGACTTAATCACTAATATGGAGTCATGGTGAGGCACTGTAGGCTAAGCACTGGACTGCTAACCCCAAGGTCAGTGGTTCACACCCACTAGTGGCTCCTCAGAACCCCTAACACAGGGTTGCTATGAGTCAAAATGGACTCAAAAGCACTTAACCATCACCACCACCACTAAGGTGGCATTATTAGGATATTTCTATCTTAAAATAGCTGGGGGTGGGGAGGTGGGGAGGCAGTTTACTCCAATATTCTGACTGGTTGCCTTATTTGTGCTTCTCATAGTTCAAAGGAACTTATAACATAAACTACTTTTTCAGAGTTGGATAGTTACCAGTTATCAAGCCCTGCCTAGTTCTCATTAGAAATGGGTCAGAAGCCACTCAAGCTCACATCTTTGAAACCCGAAAGTATTTTAGTTGGCTATATAACTAAAGACTATATAATTATATGCATAAATTGAAGTGAGCCAAATCCTATGGATATGGTGCCACTTACCATCTTGAGAAACCTTAAACTTATAAATAGTATACAACAAAACTCCTTGTATTGCAACATACTGAAATAATTTCCGAGTCCAAATTTCCATGTCTCATAAAATGTCACAATAGAAAATTTAACCTCAGTGTTAATCAAGAGCACTGAATCAGTAACATCATGATTGAACCTAGTCAGCATGGACATGTATATGAGAAAAAAAGATTCTCTGTCAGATACTGGGAATCAAAAATGTAATCTGTATTTTGTTACCACAATTAACAGTTTATAAATTAATACAGGATAAAGGGAAACATAAGCTAATTAAGAGCAAAACAAAAAGACAGCGCTTAACATTTATTTTCTTTGCTTTTTAATTTACATCCAAAGGTAGAATGCATGATTTTGAGAATGAAAAAAAAGAAAGAAAGATCTTGCCAAAAGCCATTTTAGTCGTTAGAGTCTCCATTTTCAAGAACACTCACAGGAAATAACAAATATTATTAAATAACAATACAAGTCTACTAGCCTCGTACTCAAAAAGGTGCTTTTTAAAAATCCTGTGTTAAATTTGATTATTGATGCAAGGAAAGAGAGGGAAAAAAAAGGCACATTATTAGAAATTCAATTAAGACTACTAGTATTCTTAAATGAACAATAACTGACTTTTTCCCCCACTTCAAAAGGCACCAACCTAAATACAATTCTATCTTTCCCAGATTTTGGATCACAACCATCATAGACTAGTTTTTCTAAGGTAGAGGCTGCTGCACACCTGTTTCATGCTTTGGTTACGTAGTATTACCAGCATCGTCACACTTACTGTAAAGGGTTTGGCAGCTCCTTGGTCATCTCTGCTTGAAATAATCTTTGCGTTTTTTCTTGTCTGTCTCAGACGCTCTATTGATGGAGGCTTTATGAATATCACAAAAGGCTTAAATTCTAGCGTTCTTAAATGCTTTACTGTCTGCAAAGAAAAAAAGTTTTCTTATGTTACTTTATAACGTCATGAGTGAGTTTTACACTAAAACAGACTTTTCTTCCTATGGAGAAAATTCTTAAAATCATTTTCAAATTAAGGTCAGTGGGTCTTTCTATATGTTTATCATTCAATAAGTTGTTGACAAATATAATAACTACCTTTGCAAAATGGCTGAAGATTATAAATTGCATTTATAACTGTTTTTGAAATGTGTAGGAAATAAACAGAAGCAGCTAACCATACATGAAATTCAAATTTTCGATCAAATTCTCAAAAGATGCTATGAGCTAAATAGAAAAACTGCTGTAATGGAAGTATTCAACCTTCCCATTCAAATCATTGACTAATCTCAAGTAAGAGTTCTCAGTCATTGCACAAGCCAAAATTGGAATATAAAAACAAAGAGATCTTGGGGCACTCTCAACTTTTCTAATAATATCTGTTTTTTTCCCACAAAAGACTTCTTTAGTTACATTTAAATGTTTTTGTCATCTTAGAAAAGCCACCAATATGCCAAGAGTGAGTAGATTTCAAATTGATTTCATACTGAAATGCTCATATGAAGTGTAGCAGATAACAGGGGCCAGAAAGGTATCCAACAGTTCACTGTAACTTACATGCGGCTGAACGTCCAACAAACAAACTTTGTTTTTAGCTAGCACAGAGCGAACTGAGTCTATACTGGTACCATAGTAGTTGTTTTTATATTCACCATATTCAATAAACCTGTAGAAAATTAGAGATGTATCAGAGTCATTTGTGAATATATATATATATATATATGTGTGTGTTTAGTCAGCAAGATATAGAACTCATATGTAAGAGATATTTTCACTGGACATGTTTAATAAAATAAACCCTGTTTAATAAAAATAAATAGGGCCGAGGACTCCCATTTAAAAAAATCTTCTATTCTACATTTTCAAATCAGTAGCGCCTGATTGTATTACACTTAAGCTGAAAAAAAAGTACTGTGATCCAGAAGTACACTAATGTTTTCCATCACCTCTTTTTCAGAACTAATGCAATGTAATAAAACGGTGAATAAGTCAAACAATAGAAACTACTAAAATTTCATTGCAAACTGCAGACTAACCAAGCTTGGCTTGGAAGTGAAGGAAGAGCCGGGTGGTGGCTAATGGAGTCAGGGCAGCCGATTATGTGCTATAAAAACACAATCACTAGGCCAAAGGAGAAAAAACAAAAAAACACATTTTGACGTTTCAATAAAATCCCACAATCCTGCATTAAAACACACATCACTTTGTGATACCCTAAAATATTTACGGTTAAGTAAATGGATAACCTGGCAGAGGTGGGGGTGAGGTAGGGGCAGGAAAACGACTCAGAGCTGGCTAGAGGATACGGTACAAGCAAGAGGACTTACATGATTTCAATTTTTGAAGAACCAATGAGAGGAAAGAGCATGTGTGTGCGGAGACTATGTCCTTTGTTAAGTGCTGTCGAGTCAGTTCTGACTCATAGTGAACCTGTAAAGGGTTTCTGAGGAGTGGCTGGTGAGTTTGAGCCACAGATTTTGTGGCTCAAACAACCTTGCAGTTCAGTGCTTATCCTACAGCACCGCATCAGGACTCCAGGGGGTGAATGTAGTTCGAGGTATATATTCAAGCCCGTTGCCACAGAGTCAATTTCAACTCATGGCGGTCTCGTTATGTGCGGAGTGACACCTCCAGAAGGATCTGTTACATAGTTGTTCATTGTTGCCGTTCTTGTTAAGTGCCATCAAGTCCATTCCCACTCATAGTGACCCTGTGCAGGGTTTCCAAGGAGTGGCTGCTGAGTTTGAACCATCTACCTTGTGGTTCAAACTGACTTTGCGGCCCAGTGCTTTAGCCCATGGCACCACCATTAAAAAAAAATATATAACTATGTATTAATTATATATTAAGATTGAATTAGTGGGGTAGAAGGTGGTCATAATAATATACTGGCCACTGTCCCTTATTCTACAAAAAGAATAACAACAGAAATGCAGAGAGCCTAGGATAATGGAAATTGGAGGTGAGGATTGATAGCAATTACTAGCCAATTTTTTTGTCTGCCTCCAAAATACAAAATAAACTATATGACAAATGGAGAACTCACAGTTGTCAAAAGTTGGATATATAGGCACATGCTTCAATACTACAGTAGCACAAACATTTAAAAAAATTTCCACATACTTGTTATTTTGTACATCTGTCTCAAACAAATGCTTGGAAATGAAAATATATTCAACACCATCACTTTCCTGGCTTCTTCTTGCTCTTGTCGTATCTGGGATTTAATTACAAAGCATTTAGAAAAACCCATGTATCAGTGACTTTAAGGAGAATTTCAAAAAGGTATCAAGTATTTGATTAAAGTATATTTCTTGAACATGTTTCCTAAAAGTTGATAAAAAGCAACACAAGCTAATAAAATATCAAGTGTCACTGATTCCTATTTTCTGATATTAAAATGGTATTAATTTGAAAGTAAAGTCAGTATTAAATTGCATTGTTAGCTATTAAGCCAATATATTTTCAAGGCTACCTAAAATGCTCATTAAATGAAAAGCAAAAACAAACAAAAAATCTTACTGCCGTGGAGATGATTCCGCAACCCTGTAAGACAGTAGAACTATCCCATACGTGCTTTCTAAGGCGGTATATCTTTATGGACGCGGACTTCCCCATTTTTCTCTCAGCTGCTGAGTCTGGACTTTTTAAGTTAGTAGCCTAACTCTTAACCCACTACACTTCCAGATTGCAATTCTTGAGGAAAATATCCCCTTTCTTTTGCAAGTATTATGCCTATTATACTTATTCACTGATCTTTATTTATTTAAGTAATTCTCCTTCTACTATGTAAGGTGAACGGTATTTACTTTTCTGTCTTTAGCACATAGCACATAGCACATAGCACATAGCACATAGCACATAGCACATAGCACATAGTGGGTATGACTTCAATGTTCTGTTTTATGAATGGAATGAAGTTTATGGCCTTTACCCGGATGTGATATTCATTTTGTCTTTGCAAAGTTATGAACCACATCTCTCTAGAATGCCAGTGAACTCTAAACATTTCAGTAATTAAGAATGTTTATTGCACCAGAGGTACTGTTATTCTTTGTGACAGTCATATTTTTGCAGGAAACAGTATGAAGTTTTGACAAACTTAATCCTACCATAAAAACCCAGAATAAATTTCACAGCAGAAAAACACTATTAAGCATATATAACATAATACACATCCCAGAATATGAGAGAGATTAAATTTAGTCTGATGCCATGTTTACGAGTTTGGGGTTAATTTCCTTTACGACTTAAACAGCTGTGCTGTTTGCTGGCATTCCTTCAGCAAATAGCGGCTTTAAGAAAAATAATATTGCTGAAAACTGAAATGAAGAATTGCCCATGAATTAATTTTTCATGAACTAAGAAAAGATCGTTTTAACTCATTTCTAATGGTAGAACACTTTGAAAAGGCAGAACATGCATCTTAGGGATCACCACTCTGATGCAAGGAGCCCTGTTGGAGGTTTAAATATATTATTTAGGACTATATCAAGTAGTAATTGAACAATGCATTTATGAACTTGCCATCCATAATTAAAAGGCATCAGGTCCACAACCAAACCATTTGTGTATTATGATCAATCTGAATTATTCAGATCTGGTATTATTTTCTGATGAAGAATTTTAGGGTCTAATTGCAATGCAGTATCATAGGAACTTCATAGACTCATTAACAGTGAGGAATCCTGAATAAACATTCTGATCATTGTTATGATGGAAAAAGGAAAGACAGGAGTACTAGCCGCAGTGCAGGTCGCCACAGCTGTTTGAATATTCACTATGCTTATGGTTCAAAACAAACATTAAACAGATAGGAAACAAACTCCACTCCTGCTCACACCCTGCTTTCCCAACAAAACCCAGAAAAACTGGCATGGTGAAAGATGAAAAAAAAAAAAAAAAAATGAAAACAGAAATTTTTCTTAAACTGGCATTCTAATTTGTAACACTATTTTTTAGAAGTCTCAACTGATATACCCTGGCCAAAGTGTTCTAGAACATGAGACCAATCAAAATTATGATACATGCCTATAATGTCCACTTTCCCTGTCACCATTTCAAATGCTCATTCTATAACTCTTCATGAGAAACAGGTTAGTAACAGATTCGGCTGATTGATGGTATCCAGATTCCAGACTATACAGTCTTTAGAATCCATCAGATACTTGATATCTACCACAGAATCTTTCCTTAATAACTTTATCTTAATTTACTGAAAGGTGTTGTGAAAGACTGTTTACATTAATAGTATTTAGATGTGCTGATGATAATCTATAGCTTTAAAACAATATTATTGTTGTTTACCAAGAATGAGATTTCTTCACAAACAGAACAGAGAGAAAGAAAACAGGGGCTCCTGCCTCCACTTTCATTACAAGCAATTTTTCATACTTACATGGCTTTGGGAGTGTGGTGGCTTTTAAGCAGCAAACTGAACCAGTTTGAACTTACCAGCTGTTCTGCAGGAGAAAGGTGAGGCTTTCTGCTTCCACAAAGATTTATAACCTCAGAAACTCTATAAAGTGTCGCTATGAGTGGGATCCGACTGGATGGCACTGAATAATAACAACATGGCTTGATGGAAGTGTTTATACCACTTTTTAGCCATTTTAATCCTAAGAGTAATGGCATTTTCCTGATTTAACGTCCCTTTAAATATTTATTTTTATATTCAAATAATTACAGATGCACTTGTTGTTGTTGTTAAGTGCCTTCGAGTCGGTTCCGACCCATAGCGACCCTGTATAGGGTTTCCGAGGGTGTAAATCCTTACGGGAGTAGAAAGCCGCATCTTTCTCCCACGGAGCGGCTGGTAGTTTCGAACCGCTGAACCTTAACATTCGCAGCCCGATTCGTAACCACTACGCTACCAGAACAGATGCACTAGAAGTTATTAAAAACAGTATAGCAAAGTTCTACATTCGTCAATGGTAACTTCTCCCATAACTACAGTGCATTATCAAACCAGAAAAATCGTATTAGCACTAGACTACAAAGTATTTGTTGTTAGGTGCTACTGAGTCCATTTCTACTCATCGCACCCCCATATATGAAGGAATAGTAATGCCCTATAAAGTTTTCTTGACTGTAATCTTTATGGAAGCAGAACATTGGGTCTTTCTCCCACAGTACTACAGGGTGGATTTGAACTGTCAACCTTTTGGTTAGTAGCCAAATGCTTAAGTGTAGGATCACTTAAACTCCTTATTACTATTGTTGTTAAGTGTTGTCTAGTTGGTTCTGATTCAGAGTGACCCAGTGTAGCACTTCTAAGGAGCAGCTGGGGAGTTTGAACTGCCAACCTTGCTATCTGTTATTGTTGTTATTAAGTGCCACTGAGTGGGTTCAAACTCATAGAGATCCTGTACAGGATTTATGAGGAGTGGCTGGTGGGTTTTGAACTGCTGACCTTATGGTTAGCAGGTTATAGCTCCCGAAGGAATCAAAGCATTTACATAATGGTGTTGCTGAAGAATACTGAAAGTACCATGGCCTGCCAGAACAACAAACAAACCTATCTTGGAAGTACAACTTGTGGGGAAAATACCAAAATTCAAATGTTTATATGGTCTTGGAATCTTTTTATAACAACCCCAAGATATTCTTATTATCAGACAGGTCTGGAAGATACTGCTCCATGGGGACCTTTTGGCATTAACAATTTGTTCAAAAGTGAATCGGACTAACCAATGTCAATGAAATACACATGTATAAATTGTTGAATCAGTGTATGGTTTGTTGTGTACACTGTCAATAAAATAAAATGTGAATCAGATTTCATTGCTATTAAAGGGAAAAATGAGAACACAGAGTGATGGATATTAGTGAGGGTTACACAATACATGAATGTAATTAATGCCACTGAGCTGGTTCCAGAAGATTGGTTTCAGGACCCCCGTGGATGCACACATGCCCCAGTCCCTTATATAAATGGTGCAGTATTTACATACAACCTAAGTATATCCTCTGTACATTTTACTTATTATGCCTAATACAATGTAAATGCAATGCAAATAGCTCCCTCTTAGCCTTTGATGATTGCTTTGACTACTTAATTGCACCACCTCAATAGTTTTGGTCTACAGTTGGTTGACAGGCTAACTCTATACAGCACCAGAAGCTATATTTTGATCAGATCTCCTAGTGGGGAGCTTCCTAAAAAGGTAAATTCTGGTTCAGTAAATGTGGGGTAGAAATGCAAATCTCAGCAGGGGATTGAATCAGAATGAACTGGTTCCAAGTTCTACATAAACCTGATTTCAAATCTAGGTACAACTATTGCCTATGGAATTCTGAATAAGCCAGAGTATTCTTTCTACATCATTTCCTTTTGAACTAATAACATCCATCTCGTTGTTAAGTGCCTTTGAGTGTCAGATCTGACTCATAGCGACCCTGTATAGGGTTTTCCAGGAGCGGCTGGTGAGCTTGAACCGCTAACCTTGCAGTTCAAACCAACCCTGCAGTCAAGCACATTAGCCTGCAAGGCCACACCAGGACTATCTATCTTAGGAGGACAAAATAAACGGATACAAAGGAAATGACTATGTAGTCAGAAATTAACCTTTTTTCCCCCCTTTTGATCTGCTTTCTATCATCTAGGTTTACAGGTTGCTTACCTGTAAACTTAAATACTGTTTTGTAAAAACTGTCTAACTGCCTATATATTACACTGTAGCTGTTCTAAGAAAAGTGAATTCTTAAAGTTAAAAAATATAAAAAATAGAAAGAAACCTTGTAATTCCACATTTTCCTTTCCTTTCATCTCTGTTGGTAGAAACCAGCAGTCCTATGACTTATGGCTGAAAATGATTACAAACAACAATTTGGGAAAATGTAGTAAAAATGAGTAAGTTGAGGTAAAAGAAAACTATGATTTTATAACAAAGTTGAGCTCTTCCAAAACTAAAGAACATTGCTAAGGGCAACATACAAACGGTTGGAAAAAAAAAAAGTAGTTCTAAAAAAAGCCAACATTGCAATTTAGCCTTTTAGATGGCTTTCCTAACATCAACATATTAAGTAGTCAAATGGCATTTATTCTGGAGATCAAAATGTTTCCAACATCACATTTCATTTGTATGAACGCCTATGAAAACAACTTTTATAAAACTAGATCTAATTCTGTGTACTGAAAGAAGCCTGGCATCTCTGGATTGCATGCCAATGAAAGTCCCATTGAATGCTATCTGCCAATTACTACATATAAAAAATAATTAAGACGGGTTTATATTGTACCAAGTCCCCTTCATCCTGCTGTAACTTAGTGAAAAACTCTAGCAGCAGTTATTTTAGGAAACAGAGCAGTAAAAAAAAAAATTTTAAGAAAATTTATTTATAAATGATACTTTGACATCATATGTGTACTGAAATACACCATGAAAATCTGAGAGCAGAGAAGCATGATTATCCAATAGACTGCCAATCATCTGGTTAACTAGAGCAAATCCTTTACCCACTTGTATCTTAGTGTCCTCTGTAAAATGTAGATATAATGGCACTACATACATCAGAAGTTTACTGTGAGGTCTAGATGGGTGAATACTTAGAAGAATGCTAGGCACTACTGCTACTTAAGGGTTATATGATGATGACATTTAGTATTAGTCACATATAAGAGTACAGCACTTACGTGGTACTGTCACGCCATAGTGTTGTGTGTCACTGATCAGCAGCTTTCGTTTCAGCTCATTCAACCCTACTCCTACAGGGCCTGAAAAACAGGAGGACATAAATTCATTACCAACAAAACTCCACAGCCATTTCAATAATTAACGGTAATGCATCAAGACAGAAAGAGAACATGTTTCCAAATTTGCATCCTAAGAGATAATCTCTAGTCAAGTTGTATTTAAGAAAAAGTTAGGGTTCCATTTGTTGCTTTCTTATTTAAGTGTAAAATTTCCAACTTGCCCTCAAAAAAAAAGAAAAAAAGAGAAATGTCTGTTTTTAAAGTAACGATACCCACTAAAACCAAAAACTTAAACCACTGGATTTCAGTTGATTCAGACCCAAAGTAATCCTATAGGTCAGAGAAGAACAGCTCCTTAGGGTTTCTACAACCGTAAGTTTTTAGAGGATGAAATTTTCGTATTTCTTCTGTGATTTTTTACTGCCATTTTGTAATTAGCAATCCAACGTTCAACTACTGCTCCCTCAGTGCTCTCAACCCATTAATGGTACCTGCTAGAGCTTAAAAAAAATAAGCACACTTAAAAAAAAAAAGGATTACATAGTTTGGATAGTGACAATTTTAATTTTAAGTGTTTTAGATTTTATAATAAGAGAAAAATCACAGAACCTTAATTTTATTTTGGATGCAAACAAAATTAGGCATTTTAAATTTGCAAAACCATCCATCTCATTTGTATTTTTTAAAGATTCTCTCCTAAGCTGTACATTTCCATTGGTCTTTGATGTTGGTATTTTGCCCTTGAATTGATCCAACTCATTGTGACCCCATTTGTACAAAACAGAATTGCTCCATATGATTTTCAATGCCTCTGAACTTTTGGAAGCAGACTACTAGGCATTTCTTCCATAATGCCTTTGGGTGAGTTAGAACCAAGAGCCTTCTGGCTGTAAATTGAGTCGTTAACCATTTGTGCCCAGTAGACTGTGAGCTCTGGGAAAACAGATACTTTATCTACTTTCTAAAAGTGGCAGCATCGATGGACTCAAGTGTGGCAACAGTAGTGAGGTTGGCCCAGGATCGGGCAGTGTTTCGTTTCACTATGAGTTGGCGCCGACTCGATGGCACCTAACAACAAAATCAAATACTTCTCTTGGTGTGTCATTGTAAGATAAGCACTCAACCACAAGGTCATATTGAACCACAAGGTTGGTGGTTCAAACTCACCAGTTGCTCCTTAGAAACCCTATACAGGGTCGCTATGAGCCAAAACTGACTCAACGGCACTTAACAACAATGACAGTTTATTTAATGAATTATATTTAAGAATTATGCTATTTATTATAGAAATAAAATTATCTGTTGAATAAACCAAAAGAAATGGGAATTAAGATTTAGAAAATCTTACACCTAGGACCCGATTAGGTATGAAGTTCAAGGTCAGAAATAGAAGTTGGAGAGACTCAGGTTTGAGCGTCACCCTTCTGAAATGAAGCAGAGGGGACTATAATGAATTCAACTCTAGATAAAGGGAGTTTAAAGACAGGAATCTATTTAGCTAACAAAGAACTGCAATTTAATAGAGAGGGCAGAGGTAGAGTGTCATTATGAATATAATCACATCAAGACAAACATTGAAGCTGTAAGAATATATCAGCTCTCTGAAGGAGAGAAAAAGAAGGATAAGCATTTATTGATTTCCTACTCTACGCCAACGAGCAGTGGGGCTCTTTAGGATAAGCGCTGGACTACAAACCACAAGGTAGCTGGTTAGAGCCCAGTAGCCGTGTTCAGCAGGAGAAAGATGAGGCTTTCTGCTCCTGCAAGAATTACTGACACTTGATGTGTAAATAGTAATACTTTAAGTAGAAAACCCTATGAGTCAGAACTGACTTGACAGCACTTAACAACCAAAATAACTGGTAAACCATATTTTTATGTACGTATATAAAGGTAGCACATGGTCTGTACTGAGTAGACAGCACATAGTGAAATCTCAGACAGTAGTCAGAACTGACTCGAGGATACTAAACAACAACAGGCTTGAGAAGCAAGGTAAGGATGGTGGCACTGGGAGGTCTGTTATGCAGCAAGTATGTGCTACGTGTTTGCATGCGCCACTGCAGATCCTCAAAATGTCCCTGCAGGAAAGGTATTATTCTTCTCATTTTACAGATGAGAAAACTGAGACAAAGAGAGAGGTTAAGTCATTTTCCTAAGGCCACACATCTGGAGTGTGGGTTAGTTGGCATTCAAAGGCCCTCTGGCTGACTCAAGAATCTGCATTCTTTCCAGTCTACCTAGCATAGTATTAAAAGCATTTGGGTATTTGGGTAAAACCTAACTCAGGTACCCTGTAGATCGGTAACTTCACAGAGTCTTTTATTCCCATTTCAGGTTGTCCCACACTTGGGTGTGATGGCCATCTGTGTTTGTGAGAAATGCAGAGACTCTGACTACAGAAAGCGGCAGTAGCCAAATCTTGCGATCTCTAAACTCATTCTGGACAGAGGCCCTGAGAAGTCTAAACTGGATGTAAGAAAGATAATGTGCACACCAGACCTGGACAGCATACATCAGGGTGTGTCTCTCAGGATTCTTGCTTGGTTCAGGACTACAGAAAATAAAATGCAATGATGGTATGTGAGCAGAGGCCAAATCATCACATTAAAAAGCATTGTGGAGTTCATTCTATTGGAATTCAAGCAGTGAATAACAAAGCTGACATGATTACTAACTTTAAAAAGAAAATACAAGACTGATTTTATTCAAACCAAAATATAAACAAAGATTTATCTGCTCCACTTAAAAAAACATTCACAAGAATTTACAAAATTACTTTGTGTGCAAATTCTGGAAATAAGGAATAAAGGCATGGACTAATAAGGAGCTCTGGTAGAGCAGTGGTTACGAATCGGGCTGTGAACCGCAATGTCAGCAGTTCAAAACTACCAGCTGTTCCGCGGGAGAAAGATGAGGCTTTCTGCTCCCGTAAAGATTTACAGCCTTGGAAACCCTGTACAGGTCGCTATGAGTTGGAACCAACTCCACAGCACATAACAACAACAACAATCTCCATTACTTGAAGTTCTTAGAGGGAAAAAATGTGTCAATTGGATAATTAAGATAAGTAGGAAGGCTAATTACTTTGTAAGCATTTAATGAATAGGTCCTACTGGAAGTATGTTATGTGTGATTTTATAAAAAAAAAAGCTTCATTTATTTCGGCCAAAGAAACAGTCTATTTTGGGTATCAAGAAAAAAAAAAAGTTAGTAAAGCTTCTATTTAAAATTCTACATTTAAGAAACTTTTCATTTAAGAAAAGTTACTTAATTATATGCAAACTAGATTCCTTTATTTTTATCTTTGGAAAGGATAAAAGTAACCAATATGCACATTCTTAGTATCATTTACATGGAAGGAAGATTTAGACATATATAAGATACTTTCCCTAAGTGACTCTGCTGTTAACTTACTAATAACTCTGCTGTCATTAGAGTCCTGATGGCATAGTGGTGAAGCGCTCGGCTATTAACAGAAAGGTCAGCAGTTCAAACCCACCAGCCATACTGTGAGAGAAACACGTGGCAGTCTGCTTCCATAAAGATTACTGTTGTTAGGTGCCACTGAGTTGGCTCTGACTAATCGTGATTCTATGTACAACAGAATGAATACTGTCCGGTCCTGTGCCATCCTCACCGTCGTTGATATGTTTGGGCCCATTGTTGTGGCACCACTGTGTCATCTCACTGAGGATTTTCCTCTTTTCTACTGACCTGTACTTTACCAAGCATGATATCCTTCTCCAGGCACCGGTCCCTCTTGATATGTTCAAAGAAAGTGAGATAAAATCTAGTCGTCCTCACTTCTAAGATGCATTCTGGCTGTACTTATTCCAAGAGAGATTTGTTCATTCTTTTGGTAGTCCGTGATATACTCAATATTCTTCATTGCCACCATAATTCAACTGCATCAATGATTATTTGGTCTTCCTTATTCACTGTCCAGTTTTTGCACACATACGAGGTGACTGAAAAGATCACTATGGAGCACTTCTACTGTCCTAGGAGGTTGCTATGAATTGGAATCCACCCCTTGGATGAGATGTTGAGGGTTTTCACTGTGATATTTTCAGACTTGCTTTTTACTTGATGTAAATGTGCGTATGGAATACATAAAAGGCGTTCTACAACTTGCCCAGTTAAACAGGCCTTGTGCAAAGCCTTCCCAGAGTATAGGACCTTAGGTGGAATCCTGAGCCCTATCCAGAACCTTCTGAGGTGGGACATTCCCACTAGAAAGGACAAGCAGACCAGCCTGGAACAGCTAGAGTAATAGTAGATACATCTTCAAAGAAAGATCATCAGGAAACAACCAAAACAAAGATGGGAGTATGACTGGATACTACAAGAATAATTCAGTTGTTCACCTGGAAGCCATCAAGGCAAGCAATCAAGTCCCTTTAGGACAAACACCCCTCTAAAGACAGAAACTCAAAGGGAACACATGAGGATGCATGTAAGCCTACTGATGACCACACTGGTCTAATGGTGAGTGGAAGAGTGGGAAGGGCAGCAATGAAGAAATGGGCTGATTTCAATTCCCGTTGAACTGGAGATGAGAGAGAGAAGAGGAAGGGATGGTTGGTCCAAAGTGTGGTGAGACCTGGGGAGACCTGAGTCCATGGACAAGGACACAGCCACAGAGGAATAGAGCTGAGAATGAAGCATCCAGCTGATATGAAGTGAGGGGAAACTCATAAGAACACCCAAACCTGCAGATAAAACCTATTTGACCTAGCCTTGATGGCTTGATAGTCAGAACTCGACTAGAGGAAGATTAAAAATAATAATAATAATAATTTTTGATAAAGGAAACTGGTAAATTGCTACAATTTAATGAACTTGACCAATACTCATGGAGGTAGTAGCTCTAAATACCAACAGAGAGGGAAGGAGTCTTCACATCAAGTATCAATGTTATCCCCTCTGTACACAAGGTAGATAGGGATGGGCAACTTAGACATTGGCTACCTAAAATGAGGGGCAATAAAGGCACAAAGTGACTGGCTTACAAGTTT